TGCCAGCAGCCACTGTGTTCCCTGTGGTTTGGCCCTGAATAACTAACTATATTCACCGAACAGATTTTATGAGCCAAGTATACCATGAACGTGTTCTCTACCCACACTGACCTGCAAGGTGGGTGTTATGGTCTCCACTGCACAAATGAAAAGTCTGAAACTCTGCCCTAAGTCACACAGACAACTAGTGACAAAGAGACAACTCATGGTAAGGTTAACACAAGTCTTCCTAAAAAGACAGACCAGATAAGCAGAGAAAGGCATATACAGCAGGGGGGACACAGAGTGACTATGCTGAGGGCTGGCTGCCTCTCTGTGTGTGTATGTGTGTGTGTGTGTGTGTGTGTGTGTGTGTGTGTGTGTGTGTGTGTTCAGCCTAGAACTGTGTTTTTGGCTAGCACAGTTTGGCTAGATTCATCTATCCAAGGCTCACAATCAAAACCCACCTACCAAAATGTTCTCTCGAGGGATGTGATGAGACATCACTAATCCCAGCACTCAGGAGACAGAGGCAAGTAGATCTCTATGAGTTTGAGGCCAACTTGGTCTACATAGAGAGTTCCAGGCCAGAATAGGACATAAGCCAGGGCCAGTCTGGTCATGAGCACTGCGATTCACGTGTTAAAGTCACTTCAAAGAAAAAGTTCAGCAAACAGCCAAGGCCATCGGAAAGCACCAGCAGATATATCTGGGTAATGACAAATTCATTTTGAGTCATTACAAAGGGAGATCAAGGGGCTGTGGAGGTGGCTCAATTGGTAAAGTGATTGTCTTGCATATTTGGGAACCAAAGTTTGACTCCCAGAGTCCACATTTTAAAAGTGCCATGTTATAATCCCAGTGCTGGGGAGGCAGACACTGGTAGTCCCCTGGGGCTCACTGGTTAGCCTGTCTTGCCTATTTCTGAGTTCCAAACTTAGTGAAGAATGCTGTCTCAAAAAACAAAAACAAACAAACAAAAAACAAGGTAATGCCGGGCGTTGGTGGCATACGCCTTTAATCCCAGCACTCGGGAGGCAGAGGCAGGCAGATCTCTGTGAGTTCGAGGCCAGCCTGGTCTCCAGAGCGAGTGCCAGGATAGGCTCCAAAGCTACATAGAGAAACCCTGTCTCGAAACTAAAAAAAAAAAAAAAAAAAAAAAAAAAAAACCAAGGTAGAGGGAGTCAGCTAAAGTTGTCATCAGCCCTTCACATGCACACCAACATAAGAATAAACACATACACGTGAAACAGAAAGGAAGGGAGGGAGGGGAGAAAGGGAAGAAAAGGAGGAAGGAAAAAAGGAGGAAGTGAGGGAAGACAGGAAACCAGGAAGAGGCATGCTTCCATGAAGCATGAAACTTTCCTCTCCTTTCTCTGAGGTAAAGCTGGAAAGCCTAAACACCTTCACTGAAGAGAAAGCAGTCAGCCCAGGCAGACCCCCCAGCAACCATAGTTGAACTGCAATCAAAATGGCCTACAGGAAGTATGCCTGCTGATGATGTGCAGACTCAGTCGGGGTGGTCACCAACGCTGCTCTGAGTTGTGTCTAACGAGAACTCTGCGCTCTCTAAATAGAGACTCCCTATTGCTTTCCCTTCTTGGCAGAGCCATGCCTGTGAAAGTCAGTATCTTGGAAACCAGATACCATCATTATAACAGACCCAACTTCCCATCAGATAATCAGCCATGAGTCACACACAAGTTACCAGGCCCCTGGAAGGGAGCGAGACCATGGGGTGGTGTTTACTAGTGGCAGAATTCTAGCAAATGAGGAGCATTTCCTTATCACTGGTCATGTCACATGCAGCGCCTTCCAGACCATTGCTGGGGCTCTCTCCGAATGGTTTCTAAGTATCATTATTTACAGGTTGCTAACCAGGCACTTAGCAACCCAGGCAAGTGTATTGTATTGGTTGTCCTTAAGGCTGACTCATGCCAAACAACAAAGCCTTTCAGCTAAGGGTTACTTCTCTGAGTCCTCATCAGACAGGGGAAGCTGGTGTGACACCAACATTAAATGAAGAAGTTCCACTAGACCTCGAGAAAACCATGTTTAGTAGTATGGAAAAGGGATTGTGTTTTGCAAACCCCACCCCTAGCACTCACCCTGAGGCTGCTCACAGTACCACTGGCAGGTCCCTTTGGGAACCCGAACTACATAGGCCAGGACTGCTTAGTCAACGGAGTGTCTGGATCTCAGTTCCCTTTAAAATCATGAGCTAAGCTAGTGTTGCAGAAGCAGCCCCCGGGAAGCTAGCATGACCGAGGGATGTGACGAAACTGTCTGGGGTCCAAGGTTGTAGATAGCACAGAAGGACAAAGCCTATCAGGACTTCCATAGTAAACACACTTCCAACTGGGCCAGCCTCTTCACAGGCAGGACAGGTCTGAGGCTGAAAAGTGTTCATAGGGATGGCCCGGTGATGAAATGAGCTCATGATTCCCATAGAGACAGGAGTTGTACACCAAAGGGAAAATTCATGACCCAAAGAGTTGTTTTGATGAGGCCCGTATGTGTGCACTCTGCCAGCTGGGGCAGCTGAGGCCCCTTTCTGAGACTTCCAGGCAACATACACACTTGTTCACTCTAAGGGGCCATGTGTATCTTCTGGGGCCTATATGTGTGCGTGTGAACTGAGGAGCTTGTGGGGAGAAGAGAGCAAGGGCCCCAACTCTGTGTTCAAAACTTTCCATCTTATTCCAGAGCTTCTGTGGGGTGTCCTCTGTGGGGAGCCTTGGGTTTCATTTCCTACCCACCCCTAGTTTCTGCTTTCTACTGAGGAAGGGGTGAGGAGAAGCTAACAAGACAGGGGCTTGGTAGGAGAGACTGGAAAAAGGAAGACTGGCCTATTCCTGTTCCTCTTTCCTTGTACTTCTTTCGTCTCTGAATGTTCTAGAACACCTGACACCTGGTCAATGTTGGTGACCTGTTGAGAGATGATGATGTCCTGACTCCTTACTTTATAAGTATTGATTTTGTTTTTAAGTCTTCAGTTCTGCTCTGTGGCTTTTAGAAGCTAGGAATCCATGGTGGGTGCGTGCACGTGTGAGTGTACACGTGAGTGTGTGTGTGAGTGCATGTGTGAGTGCACGTGTGAGTGTGAGTGTGCGTGAGTGTGTGCGTGAGTGTGTGTGAGTGCACGTGTGAGTGCATTGTGAGTGTGTGAGTGTGTGTGTGTGTGAGTGCACATGTGAGTATGTGTGTGAGTGCACGTGTGAGTGCATGTGTGAGTGTGTGTGAGTGTGTGTGTGAGTGCGTGTGTGAGTGCACGTGTGAGTGCATGTGTGAGTGTGTGTGAGTGCGTGTGTATGTGTGTGTGTGAGTGTGTGTGAGTGCATGCGTGAGTATGTGTGTGAGTGCACATGTGAGTGTGTGTGTGAGTGCACGTGTCAGTGCATGTGTGAGTGTGTGTGAGTGCACATGTGAGTGTGTGTGTGTGTGAGTGCACGTGTCAGTGCATGTGTGAGTGTGTGTGTGGGTGTGTGTGTGAGTGCATGTGTGAGTGCGTATGTGTGTGTGAGTGCGTGCGTGAGTGTGCGTGTGAGTGCACGTGTGAGTGTGTGTGTGAGTGCGTGTGTGAATGCACCTGTGAGTGTTTGAGTGTGTGTGTGAGTGCACGGGTGAGTGCACGTGTGAGTGTGTGTGTATGTGTGAGTGCATGTGTGAGTGTGTGTGAGTGTGTGTGAGTGCACATGTGAGTGCATATACACGTAAGTGCAGGTGCCCAGAGAAGCATCAGATCCTGCAAAACTGAAGTGACAGGCTTTCGTGAGCAGCCTGTCATCGGTGCTGGGAACTGAACTTGGGTCCTCTGCAAGACCAGTAATATTTGCTCTTAGCTGCTGAGCCAGCTCTCCAACCTAATCTGGCCAGGCACTTCTTACAAAGACACCAGTTGGATTACATGAAGGCTCCTTCCAGTGACACTATTTTACTTTTATCACTTCTTTCAAGACCCAGTAAGGCCACACTCTGAGGTTTCTGGGTCAGAACTTGCATGCACCCCAACAGAAGAAAAGCAGGAAGACAAGTTTAGTCACGTGCAGAGCCCTACTGCACGTTTAGCTCTGTGCTGGGCAATAGAGAATAGACGAGCAGCCGGCTCTCATTGTGACTGAGTAGGAAATGACAGCTATAAAGGGAGTAAATGACAAGCTGGATGGGTGAATCCTGAAAGGCTAAAAGCTGCTTCCAGGGTTGAGAGAGCTCAGAAAACTTGGCATATAGAAATCGGGTAAAGCAATGCACACTTGCAATCCCAGCACTAAGAGAGTGCAGGAGGATAGGAGTTGAAAGTCATCTTTGGCTACTTAGTGTGTTTGAAGCCAGCCTGAGCTACATGAGACCTTGTTTAAATACACACACACACACACACACACACACACACACACACACACACACTCGTGCGCACATGCGCACCATGGATTCTTAGCTGCTCGAAACCACAGAGCAGAAATGAAATCTCCCACAAACTCCATCCCAGGTAACTATGTAGGCAGAGCTGCCAGCCACAGGCCACACGCAGCTGCTGTGGGTAACAGCAGAGCTCCATCCCTGGGATGTTGTCACCTCCTGAAACAAGAGTGAAAGTCGCCACATCCTCAACTGCATCCCCTCAAAAGATCTCTGAACCACGCCCCAAAACTGTGCCCCTCAGTGAAACAGCCCATGAGGGGAACAGAAAGTCTGATGCCTGTCACTCCACTACCTAGGTGCTCACTCTTCATGCTTCAGATAACCAGGTGACATCACTCAGCTATTCTCTGCACTGAGAGTGCTTACTTAATCTTCAAAGAGAGTTCCAGACTGGTATCTGGTGACTAAATGGAGGTCAGAGTTCCTTTGACATCAGGCATACCCAGCAGGGGCAGACCCAGTGACAGTTGCCAGCTCTTGGTGACCATGTGCAAACGCAAACTTTGAGCTCCTTCCTGCCCAGCGCCTCTTTCAGGCTCCACACACACCCTAGCCATGAGACAGTTTCCCGGTTGCCACCAGTCACCATGAAAACACATAGATACATGGGTGCTGCCTTTTATTGTTTTCCAGAACATTCTCTCTCAAGTCCAAACATTGCCACATCATCACCACCTCTTGGCGAAGCTGCCCTTTATGACCCAGCATAAGGCACAAAAGACACCAGGCTGGTATTTCCTCTGCCCCATAGGGATTTTTATGGGTTTTTTATTTGGTTTCATTTTTGCTGTGCTTCTGAGAATTGTTCTTTTGTTCTTCCGTTTGGTCGTGACGTCCACTCTCCAAGGAATTCTGCTCAGAAACATCACACAGCTGTTACCTGAAGCATATGCCTCCAGAAAGAGAACTGCACCCACCACCACATCCTCCCAGGAACTCATGGCTCAGAGGACAGAACAAGCCCATCCTCCTTACTGGGTTTGGGTAAACCAAACAGAGGCAGGAAAGCCATGCTGGGACTCATTGTCTGGATTAGTTGCCCTAGCAACCGCTTTTCCTACTCATCACACAGCCAAAATTCGAGCAGTTGTTAGATATGTAGTCCCCATACCACCCCCATGGAGGGGCCACTGACACTTGCCTGGCCCTAGCAAAAGCCATCTAGGCCATGTCTGGGACTTTGAACTCTCAGTCACTCCCTGGCAGTAAAGCCATGGGTGATATCAAAAGCCGCCATCTTGTACGTGCCTCACCTACCTAGGTGGAGGAAGTTTCTCAAAGACTAGTGATTGAAATCAGAGTTCAAAGGAAGCTGGAGTGAGACAAAAAGGAGCCCCTGACCTGCCTGTCGCTGCAGGTGGCCTGGGTCACACAAAGTCCCCATTAGAACCACCAACTATATCAACTTAATTTTTTTTTTTTTTTTTTTTTTTTTTTTTTTGTTTTTTAGGGACTGGGTTTCTCTAAGTGGCTTTGGAGCCTATCCTGGCACTCGCTCTGGAGACCAGGCTGGCCTCAAACTCACAGAGATCTGCCTGCCTCTGCCTCCCGAGTGCTGGGATGAAAGGCGTGCGCCACCAATGCCCGGCCTAACTCACATCACTCTTACATGTGGCTACAAGACCTCACTAACTGTGGGGTGACCAATGCTAGCCTGAGCTGAAGCAACTGCCCTGGTCATGCAATATGTGTGTATGAAAGGAAGAAAAAAGTGAGAAGAATGTGCTAGAAGAATACAACACTAAGATGATGGCAGGCACCAAGGCCCAAAGCCACAGAAGTATTTTGTAGAGCGGTTCCAAGTCTCTATTGGGTGGGTAATCTTAGCACCAAGGCACTATTGGGCAGAGGCAATTAGCACCTGGATACATGGAATGCTTTTAGGACAGGTTTTAGACGGCAAAAGTGACAGCCCACTATAGTCAGCTCTGGATCAACTTGTCTGAGATTGTCCTAACCAAGTGTTTTATCATCCTAGTACTGTATCATCAACCTAAGGGTTAAGTGAAGCCTGGGGGTGTGGCTTCAGCTACATCCTCCATCACCCAGAAGGGGCCTTCAAACCTAGCTCCTCTCCAGAGCATGAGGGGCACTGCCCCAGAAACCTAGCCCTGTACCGTCTGTCCACTGACCACAGGCAGGGCTCTAGTTGAGTCAGAGGGGAGTCTGGCTTGGCTGGAGGATCCAGCTTAATCCCCTTACTCATCCAAAAGGTCACAGTAGGGGCAGCAGCCTTAGGGGGCAGAGCCTCTCTGTTGACTGCAAGTTCAAAGAATGCTCAGAAGGCCACACAGTGCCCCCTGGCTCCAACCCCAGAAATGGAGCCGGTTCTGACTCAGAGAGGAAACAAATGCTGAATCACCCTCCACTTCCTCCTCCAGCCCAGCTCAGCCAAGACTAGCAGTGGCTTCCAGGACAGACAAGTGACCACCACTTGGAAAACTGTAAGGGGGGGCACAAGGCCCACAGACCACCAAACCTAGTTTTACTGTGGTCCACACTCTCAGTATTTTCTAGACACTGAATAGCTTCTAACAGCCCTGTCCTGTCCTGCCTTGACCTTGGCTGTGTTATTTTTCACTTCCCTGTTCAGAGCACAGCCACACTTTCCAAACATCATGAATCATCAGCAAAGCAACGGCCACTTAGTAAGACAGGAAACCGCTGCACAAAGCCAGGCCTGGACAGAGTAGTTCCCTGCTCTAGCCTCTCCTGCCCCCTGCTCACTGTGACACAAGGCCACAGTGGAGGTCCTGGGGACTGTTGCATCCCTGAATATTCAACCCCTCAACCATCAGCCCTTATATCGGGCAGCACCAGGCAGCATCTTTGGAGTTCAGCCTCCACTGCCTGAGCAGGCTAAAGTGAAGCTGGTATCTCCCAGTCGCAATGGGAGGGAAACAGGTCAGCTCATTCAAAACCCAGGCTGTTAGAATGACTGGATCCAGCAGACAGCAGAGCCATCAAGTGGCCATGGGACTTCCTCTTGCAGCCTTACAATTAAGGACAGAAGTCACCCCTGTCATACAAGCCCCTGTAGCTAGACCATGTGCCCTCTGGATAATTCCCAAAAAGAGATCACCAGTGAAGCCCATAAATCAATCAACAACGGGGACTAGGGAGATGGCTCACTAATGCTGACAAGCATAAGGACCTGAGTTCCAATCCCCAGAACCCATGTAAGAAGCAAGTGTAGCACAGCGCTCAGTTCTGGGTAGGTGGAGACTGGAAGATGTTATGTTTGCTGACATCTAGTCTCTCTGATCTGTGAACTCGAAGCTCAGTGAGAGACCCTGTCTCAAAAAATAAGATGGAGAAGTGATTGAGGGAGACACCATCATTGGACCCTGTCTTCCCCATACATATATACACACCCAATCATGTTAAAAACAAAAGCAACCTGAAATTAAAGTTTCCCTGACAGGTCATATCTGTCCAAGATAGGCCTTGTGTGTTCTCTGTCCCTGTGGTCTAGGCTCTGGTTATTTTTTCTGAGATCTAATGGATAAATCACACATGTCTACATGCTCTTTTGTAGCCCCCATGTGGCAGCTGGATGGATCAGGACAGACGACCAGGGTCAAGAGTGTAGACAGGCATGACAGAGCTTTCTCCTCAAATGCCAAATATCCAATATGGTAATCAAATCCCAGATTCCAGACATTGGAGAATTAACTACATTAAGCACCACAGACCAGTGTTCTGGGTAGCCAAACAGATCCAAATGTCTTGAAAACATATAAATCACAACACTCTAGCTCTTCAAGTCCGGAAACAAATTTTAGAGCCTTAGAGATAATAGACGTGTCTCCTGAAAACAAAACCAAACAAAACAAAACAACCTTCCCCTGGGGCTGGACAGAAACCTCAGTGGTTAAGAGTATTGACTGCTCTTGTAGAAGACCCAAGTTTAGTTCCCAGGACCTACAAAGAGGCTCACAACCTTCTGTAACTCAAGTTGCAGGGAATCCAATTCCTTCTTCTGACTTCCAAGGGCATCAGGTCTGCACATGGTGCACACACACATCTAGACCAAAGGAAAAAAAAAACAAACAAAAAAATAAAAATAAAACTTTATCCACATAAGATAAAATAAATCTTAAAAAAACCCCAAATCTCTTTTGATATCTCATCAGACATCTAGGAGAACCAAGATCCAGAGAAGTGAAATGACTTGCTGAGGTCATACAATGTTAAGGGACAGAGCCAAGACAGCTCACATCCTCTGGCTGGTAATTCAAGGTTACTTTTATTTATCATAACTGTCATTGCAGTGGGTAGGTGTAGGAGTCAAATCAGATGTCCTTCACGCCCTCTGAATCTATTCTCATGATGATCCAGAATATTGTACAACAGCCCAAGCCTGTGGGAGAGTCTACATAGTACCTGACATTCTTAGTCAGGAGATTATGAATTCCTTTGACAGGAGTTTTACATATAGCTACCACCATTTCGTCAGAGGAGTCCTTTATACAGGAAAAACTAAGAATCAGTGAATTAGAGAATACACACACACACACACACACACACACACAGAGACACACACACACACACACATACACACACACACACATATCCAGGGAGCAAATTTGAGAGGAGGGTGACTTTGGATGCACAGCTTGTGCCAGTCATTCAATTCTGCCCTTATACTGTAAAAACAGTATTAAATGTACACCAGCAGACACAGTCTATACCAATAAAACTTTATTAACAACATATTATGGGCTCAACCTAGCCCAGGCAATTGTTTGTCCTGAACCAAAATGTATGATTGGCTTCCTTCCCATTACATCAGATCCTGTAGATATCAGGGAATGAATGGCCCCTATGTTTCTGCCATGGATCCAGCCCTCATCCAGGAACAGTCAAGGATAAGAAGCACGACAAAGAATTTGTTTCACTTTTCCATTAAACAATGACAAGTTCTTTGAATTTCTAATTGGAAACTTTCACACATCACTTAAGGTTGCTGCAACTTACTTCCTGCCACCCACTTACTGTGTATTTTGAGCAAAACTGTGGTGAAGGCCGAGGTGCCCTTTGGCCTCTGGCAGTTGTCTGGAGTGCACTGTCCTGACTCATGGGTAGACAGGCAGCAGGAGAGCTACTGGGACATTCTTCCCTTGTCACATAAAGTTCTGACTGCATTAAAACTGGATTCTAAACTAAGCTTGGAAGGAACTGCAGCTCCCCCTCTTCTGTGAGTTGGGATTTTGAACCTAGCAGTAGTAGGGAATTTGTTCTTATCTGGCCCTCCTTCTTGTAGAAATCCCTCCCCTCCCCCCCAAAGTTGCTCCCTTCTCCCAAAGACCTTTGGCCATGTATGTTTCTGAAAAGTCATCCATTCTTGATGAAAAGAGGGGAAGGCACAGGGCAGCCCTCCTTGAGCTCTGCCCGGCTGCAGTAAGTGGCAGAGAGGCCACCGTCAGTCCTCACACTGAGAGTGGGTGAAATGTGAGTCCTTCTGTGGCTGACATTCTGAATCTGCCCTGTAGAAACCCCACTTCCAATATGACTGCTTCTCTGTGTCGTTGCACACCTATGTTCACACTTAAGCAACAGGGCATCTATAAACACACATCTCTTAGCATCCTCCCGGTGAAATGGAATGCAAGGAGATGAAGCAGATGCTGAGGCTATAGACCACAGGTTGTTTTCCCACATCTCCTGCCAGGCACAGTCACCTCTCCAGCACTTCTGGGGAACTGGAGCCATCCCTTTCTCTTCCTTTTTCTTGTTCTATCAGTCTGCCTTTCTCAGCCTTCCCATGGAAAATCTCAGAGCAGGCCACTTCCTGTTTTTGTTTTGTTTTCATGCCCTACTGCTGTACCCTTCGACCTTCTGTCCTGTGTCAAGATCCTTGTCCTGAACTGAGTACAAGGCACAGACATGTGTCCCAGTTCCAAGGAGCTGGCTCAGCAACTGGAAAAGGAAAGGACCCAGTAGGTCCTGCTCATTCCTGCTTGCATGCCTGTGGGCTGAGACAATGGCTTCTCTCAAGTCCTGAGTCATTGCCTCATCTAAAGAAAGAAAAAGAAAAAGGCTCATGGGGAGAGGAGGGGTGTAGGAACACAGAAGGATCTGTAGGCAGTTAGTAGTACAGCCACTGGTTAGTAGCCCACACTCCTGCAAGCAACCCTAATGAAACTCTGCCTCCCACAAAAAAAAAAAAAAAAAAAAAAAAAAAAAAAAAAAAAGAGAAAGAAGAAAGGGGCTTGGTTGGGCAGAGTGAGAAGGAAAGGGGATGAGAGAGGGTAGTAGAGGTGACTGTGATCAAAATAACATTATATACATATGTGAAAATGTTTTATATGGGGCTAGAGAGATGGATCCACAGTGAAGCATACTGCTTTTGCAGAGGACCAGAATTCAGTTCCCAGAACTCACACAGAAGTTGACTACCCTCTGTTCCAAGGAACCTAGTGCCCTCTTCTGGCTTTTTGAGTACTGCACTCACATGTACACATAAACTCACAAAGGCTCATACACTTGTAAATTAAAAATAAACCTTTAAAAGGTAAACCAAAAGTCAGTCAGTGGTGGCACACACCTTTAATCGCAGCACTTGGGAGGCAGAGGCAGGAGAATCTCTATGAGTTCAAGGCCAGCCTGGTCTATAGAGCTATACAGAGAAACCCTGTCTCTTGAAAAACCAACCAAACAAAAAAGGTAAACCAAGAAAATGTCATAATAAAACTCATTAATGTATTAAATTAATATATGTTAATTTTAAAACATTTTTTAAAAGGCAGATGAGAATACAAAGATTTGGTTTGGGTGTACCCACCCACAGTAGATGCAAAAAATAAACATTTGATTTTGAGTGCTGACATTTCCTTGATTCACTCTCATTTGATGCTGTGTGATCTTTTCTTTGCTTTCCCCATTGGCTCCACTAGGAGCATGTCCGTTCCTTCTTTTCTTCAACACTTGTCCCCTTAGCCTGCCCAGCATGCTTGGTGTGTTTGGAACCCGCAGGCACTGGCCAGGGATCACTTCTGGAAGAATGCTTAGGCTGCAGAATGGATTCGTTGCTTTATTTCTTCCACACCTGCCCCAGGCACAGACTAGATACAGATAGGACGACAGAAAACACACCAACAGAGCCAAGGACATCCCCCCTTCCCCCCCAGGGCTGAAGAAACTCTTGCTAAGCTGGTCGGGAAACCCCAGAAGGAGCATGTAAAACAGCCCCTGACGGGTTAACCAGCATCCATTATACAGGGAGTTTCCACCATTTCCACCAACCAAGAACGAGAGCAGACAGGCCACCAAACTCTGAAGTCCCGCAGCTGGGGAAGGGTCTGCCAAGGGAAGCAGCTGAGGGAGGCCGAGTTAGCTGTTCGTGGTGTCTGCAATGCATGTTCCTGCTGGAAATAGCCTGTCTGGTTCATCCCCTCTCACAGAAAGTTCCAAACACAGTTTTTGCTCATCATGTCCTGAGGCGGCCCTCAACAACACACTAAATATTTGGTGAAGGGGAGGGGGTTCTCTTGGGAGGCACCAGAATCATCTACAGAGTCACCATCAGGGGATGTTTCTGGCCTTGGAAAGCATGGCGACATCCTGTGTTGAGTGGACCTTTGCAGAAATAGGTCAGGTCTGTGCATATCTCTCAGAAGGACAATGTCAAGTTCCCATCGGGGAAAGAGACTGATTTATTCTGTTAATAATAGCAAAGGCCGTAGTTTTCCACCTTGAACTGTATAAATGTCACAGGGAAGAAAACCAAACCAAACCAAAACAAAACATTATCTTTGGTTGAAAACACTGTCAGCCTTTTAAAAAAGTGAACTGGAGATAAAACAGTCCTCTGGAAAAGCCTCTGCAAGTGCCACACCTTGAGATAGCTGATGTTGACCTTGTCTGCAAAAGCCTCCCCAGCATTTGCTTGCCTTCAAGAATAGCTAAGAACAGAAAGCCAGGTGGAATGACCTCAACTCTTCTAGGTTTCTTGTACTGGTGACCAGATCAAAAGCACTGCATCAAGAAAGTCAAGGAAGCACAGAGAATTCATTTAAGGTTGGGGTGGAGAAATGGCTCAATGGTTAAGAGCACTGGCTGCCCTTACAGAACACCAGGGCTTGATTCCCAGCATCCATGTGGTAGCTCACAACTGTCCAGTTCCAGGAGATCTGACACCCTCTTCTAGCCTCCATGGGCACTGTACACATGTGGTACACAGATATAGATGTAGGCAAAACACCCAAACATGTGAAATATAAATAAATTAGATTATTTTTTAAAGAATCCATTTAAGTATAAAATTTGGGGCTCTGGCTTCTTACAAAAAAACATTGGTGGAATAGTACAAATGTGGAAGGAAGCAACTCAATGTCCATCTTTGGAGGAATGGGTAAACAAAGACAGGTGAACATCTGATGGAGTCTTGTTTGGCCCTCAAAAGAAAAGACGTCTGGCCCTGTTGCAGCATAGATGGACACTGAAGACATTGTCCTGAGTGAAATAAGCCAGACACAAAAGGAAAGAGCAATGTGATTCTGCTTACACAAGGGACCAAAAATAGTCAAATTCGTAGAGACAGAGAGTAGAGAGGTGGTTTCCTGGACTGGCGGGGGCTGAGGAGGTTGTTTCATGGGTACGGTTTTTCGGTTTTGCAAAATGAAAAGGTTCTGGAGATGATTGGTAGGGGCAAATGTGAATATATTTAACCCGTCCTAACTGTACCCTGAGAAATGCTGACCATGGTGAATTTTGTGTCCTGTGCATCTTACCACAATTAAGAATGACTGTAGACTAAAATTTTTGAACACTCTTGGGATAAAGAATGATGAAGGGCTTGCCACTGGTGGTAGTCGAATTTAGAGCCCAACCATGGTCTTGAAATCACACACCCGTGTTTCGGCTTCAGCACGATGCTGGGGCTTCTTCCATCTCCACCTCCATGGGAATTGGGGGACAGCTCTCTGTGTTGGGGGAGCAGCTCTCTACAAAGTCCAACTTTCCCAACAGCTAAAGGCATGGAGGTCAAGGCAGCAGCTCAAAGATGTAGGGTTTGGGAGTCTGCTCTCTGCCAAAAGGGCCTAGTAGAGTTGAGCATTCTGACTACTGCTTGTAGATGAGGCTGCAGTCGCTAGGTTAATCCTCTCTGGAAGTGTGCTCACAGGTACTCACAGAGGTGAGCTTCGCTGATGTCCTTTGACCTCCGACTGAACTGGTCCTGCAGGTACAGTTCTCTCAGCATAGGACAGAACTCCCTTCAAAAGCAGCAACACCATTCACCCAGGTGAGTACCTGAGTAGAAGGGAGTGTGCCAGCCAGAGCTGAAGTTTAGGGGTTTCTAGTCATTTGGGATGAGGTGGTCTTGAGGCAAGTGGTAGCAGAAGCATTTGTTCCTACCACAGGGCCTTTGTACATGTTCTCCCCCTCAGCCACAATGTCCTAGGCCTCAGAAGCAGCCAGCCCTTTCCACACCTGGATCATGGACTTTCAGTCTCCAGACCTGAGACAGTAAATGTCTGTTGTTTAAGCTGTGTGGTCTCAGTGCTTTCCTTCAGCCACATCAGGAAATTAATACTGGGAGTTGACCGAGTCTCCTGTTGGGCATGGTCACTAACTTCCATTAGAGAGACACTTTAAGGATAAAGGAGATTGCACTGGCAAAGGTCTGTGGGTGGTGGCTGTTGTACCATCAGAGACTTGCTAGCACCAGCTATAGGCTTCACTTGAATTGACAGAGCTTGGAATTTAATGAAGGTGAGGTTCAAGAGAGTCCTCCAAAACCAGGGGAATAGCTTTGCTGCTTCTGAAAGGGGAGGGGGGAGCAACGACCTTGGCTCTGTCTGACACATGCTGAGAGAACAGTCCTGCAGGACCTCCAGTCAGAGATCAAAAGAGACCAGTGAAACTCACCTCTATGCTTCACTGTGCACCTGTGAGGACACTTCCAGAGAGGACTGACTGAGTGGGGGACATCCACCCTGAGTAACGGATGACACCATCCCAAGAACCGAGGGCCTGAGTAGAACAGAGGGAAGAGGAAGCCATTTCACAGGTGTTCTTTCTCTCTCTGCTTCCTGGTCGCCACGACAAACTGTTCTACTCCCCGAGTCCCTGTCACAATGATGCATTGAATTCTCCGGATCTAGGAAGTAAAATGGCTCCTTCCTCCCTTCAGGTGTTCAGCCAGGTGGTCTTGTTACAGTGATGAAATCTGACTTAATGTGGTCCTAGGATCCAGGACTAAGACCTTCAACAAGAGCCTAACAAAGGACTCTCAGTGTATAC